AGGTATTTTCCAGTAAGTTTCCTCCTCTTTTCAAGATATGATGCTTTTTTGAAATGATGCAAACAGGCATATACTGTGTATGTGTGTGTAAGGAATGTTTAGGGATATGGAGATTTTATGCAATGGAGGTTAGAAATAAATGTCATGAGATTGTCATATGCTTTTTGAACTCTTGGAGCAGATATTTAAATACAATCAATAAATAATATCATACGCCACAAAGTACAGCGAAGTGAACTTCCTACTTTATTCACAAAAACATTTGTTGATCATTTTCTGATTTATTTGACCAGCTCTTAAGACAGGACAAAAAGCCAGTGGGTTTGGTGTTGTGACAAACCGAGACCCCCAAAGGTAGTTAGGTGCCTAAAGTCCCAAGTGCATCCTACCTTCCTTTCTCTACTCTGTTTGCCCATTATCTTCTCTCAGATATTGCTCTCCTAATACCCCGCATGCTCTCCCAATTATTTTCTTCAGTGTCCCCACTGCAAAGTGTGTACCACTAGCTTTGGTGCAGGGGAGGGTTGAATGCATGTGCAAAAGAGGAATGCTAAGAGCAAGCTATTAAATGGTCTTGAAGCAAGTGGGACTACATTAAACAATTATGGACTAGATCTTCAGCTGCTATCATAGAATATCAAGGTTGGAAGGGATCTCAGGAGGTCATCTAGTCCAACTCCCTGCTCAAAGCAGGACCAATCCCCAATTTTTGCCCCAGATCCCTAAATGGCCCCCTCAAGGATTGAACTCACAACCCTGGGTTTAGCAGGCCAATGCTCAAACCACTGAGCTCTCCCTCCCCCCAGTTGGTGTAACTCAATTTAACTCAATGGAGCTAGGCTGATTTATACCTGTTGGGGATCTGGCCCTATAACTATGGATAGAGATGTATTTAGAGTATAACCCCATTTACTCAATCTCCAGTTAACTGAAACTCCTGTTTTATCAAAGGTCATTTATGTTCCCTAGTGTAATATTCCGCATGCTTTGCTTATCCAAACCTTATTCTTTCCAGAGGCCTTGGATATTTCCAGTGGAAACAGGTGGTGTATAGACCATCAATTTTATTTTTTAAATACTGTTCATTTTAGTAGTGTTAAAGACCCTGTGTGCAGGGGTGGTTTTTAACTACAAAATGTGGGGGTAGGGTCAGAAAATGCTTGCAGTACTGTGGCTGATACTTCGTAAGGAAACTTCTGCAACATTTAGCAAAAACCACACAGCTTATTTCTTGTTTCTAGCACCTCACTAACCCTTCTTTTATAAAACCACAAAACTTTATATAAACTTCCTATAAACAATGTAGCGCTCTAACAGCAGCTAATAGCAGCTCTGGGCTGAAAAAATACATCCTCTAAGAGCAGCATTTGCATGACATGGGACATCTAGTAGTGGCTTTGAAGCAGTAGGTTCTGAGCAGTTTGCTCATACCACAAGGCCTGAGAAGTGATGGGTACAATGAGAGAAGCAGAGCAACTGTAGGCAGGTTTACTCAGCAGAACTTAACATCTAGGGTTTTATTACTTTTATATTAGCAATAGAAAAATGAGGCAGAATCCTGAAACCCTATGCATGTTTAATGTCTTAATAACTTTAAAGTGTGATTCAACATTACTAATCCTTCAGAAATCTGAAGAAGATTAATCATCAGTCCTCTACTTCAAACCCATTCAATTAAGAATAATATTTGCATTTGAATAGCACCTTTCATCCCAAAGAACTTTGCAAACTGTGGGCCCCGTTCTCCAAACACTTGCATACATAAGTAGTCCCTGCATGATAGCTCTGCTGAAATCAATGGGATTACTCTTGTGAGTAAGACCTGCTTCTGTGAATAAGGGTGTGTGTATATATATCACCACTGAAATGCAGAAATACAGCTATCTCTTGTGGGGGGAGGGCAGCAGTTACCAGGTGCACAGCACACTGCACAACTATGGATGGGAGACAGGCCAGTCCTTGCCTACAGACAGCCCCCAACCTGAAGCAAATACTCACCAGCAACCACACACCACACAACAGAACCACTAACGCAGGAACCTATCCTTGCAACAAAGCCCGTTGCCAACTGTGTCCAGATATCTATTCAGGGGACACCATCACAGGGCCTAATCACATCAGCCACACTATCAGAGGCTCGTTCACCCGCACATCTACCAATGTGATATATGCCATCATGTGCCAGCAATGCCCCTCTGCCATGTACATTGGCCAAACTGGACAGTCTCTACGTAAAAGAATAAATGGACACAAATCAGATGTCAAGAATTATAACATTCAAAAACCAGTCAGAGAACACTTCAATCTCTCTGGTCACTCGATTACAGACCTAAAGGTCGCAATATTACAACAAAAAGACTTCAAAAACAGACTCCAATGAGAGACTGCTGAATTGGAATTAATTTGCAAACTGGATACAATGAACTTAGACTTGAATAGAGACTGGGAGTGGATGGGTCATTACACAAAGTAAAACTATTTCCCCATGTTTATTTCACCCTCCCCCCACTGTTCCTCAGACATTCCTGTTAACTGCTGGAAATGGCCCACCTTGATTATCACTACAGAAGGTTTTCTCCCCCCCCCGGCCCCCCCGCTGGTAATAGGTCATCTTAAGTGATCACTCTCCTTACAGTGTGTATGATAACACCCATTTTTTCATGTTCTGTGTGTATATAAATCTCCTCACTGTATTTTCCACTGAATGCATCTGATGAAGTGAGCTGTAGCTCACGAAAGCTTATGCTCAAATAAATTGGTTAGTCTCTAAGGTGCCACTAGTACTCCTGTTCTTTTTGCGAAGACAGACTAACACGGCTGCTACTCTGAAACCTGTCATTATGGATGGAGGTGTATTTTTAGCCAAAGACACTGCTGCAATCCTTAATCTTAAATGCCAGAAGATCTTTAAGTCCATTCAAATCACAGCCCACAGAACCTCAGGTTTTAAAGTCATGTCCAAAAGACTTCACACACTGCATGGAATGCAATTTATCTCAGAAACAAGAAGGGCTGAGTCAATATGGGTTAATTATAAATAAACAAGCAGATATTAAACATAAAAGGCAAAATTATCTTCATTTAGATGAAAAGGAGCTTGTGGTAGTCTTTATTCCCTAACACAGCAAACTGTTTACTTTTGGGGAAAATGCTTTTACACTCAGACCACCAGGTTAACCATATCTGGCTTCAACATCACCAAGTGGGATGCACTGAAGTTACATGGTCAGCTCAGGCATATTTCTAACAGTATTTCTCAAGTGTTTGGGAAATAACTGAATGCATTTGTTCAGTTCCCTGGTTTTACTGGAGATGGGTCACAGCTGTGATTACAAGCAAATGTGCATTAAGGAGAAACCTTTAGAGCTGTTGAGAGAAAGGGCACTCACTCACCCCAGGCATGTGCCACAAATCATTTAAATTAAAAGTTATTAACCTTTAATTTGAAAAGATTATCTTTTGAGTGTACAGCCAGATAAAGTAGGTACAATCTGTAATAACAATTCCAGTGTAAGGTAGAGGGGGGAAAAACTAAGACAAAGCTATCATGTAAGAAAAGCACATTAAAAATTCCTTCCTCTCCTTGTATACTCCTTTTCTCCAGTCAAAAGATATCTCTACTTACCAAGAAATCAGGAAACTTTAAATTGCAGCACAATCCAAGGAAGAATAAGGTCTTCCTATTAGTGTTCAGGGCCTCAGGATGAGCTAAACTGACTATAAAAAAGACTATATTGGTCTTTAATTGTATATGGCCTTTGAGAGCACAGATGTAGCTCAAACAATGTGTCTGAGATTGGGGCCTCACCTCTTCCAGATTTCTTGAACTCCACTTCCCCTGCCATCTTCCAACTCAGTCCAAAACACATGGTCTCCCTCCATCCTCTTTTTTTTTTTCTTGGATTTATCCAGTTGATAGCTCCCGGGCAGGGAGATAGACAGATAGTATCTGGATGGAAACTAACAATGAGAAATCTGTACTGTTGTATCTTCAGCACCTCTCATTAGGATCAGACCTGGGGAAGCTTCCCTCCGTTCCAGTGTTGCGCTGTCCGTTGTTTACGTGACTTCTCCATGCAATGGCGTACTGTGCCTGCTTTTAAAACAAACACTGAAAAATAGTAAAGGGCCCGATTCTGCCACCCTTACTCCTGTTGAGCTCTATTTTGCTGTGCGAGTGGTCTCTCTGAATGGGTCTAGCTCTAGCAGGAATAATTGGAGGGGGAGGCAGATTCGGATCCTGTCTCAAAGTGACGGTGCCTTGTCAATATATCACTGTTCTTTCGGTTTCTGGCTCTTTGCTTTCTCCAGAGTAAATGATGCGTTATATTTTCTTCTACCCCTCCGTGACCGGGAAGGAAGTTTTCTTTACACCGGTTATATGACTTGGTTTCAGAGATCCCGTGCTAAATTTAGACATGCATGTAAAAGGAGGCTTTGGAAGATGAATGCTGTAAACAGAGAGACACAGCCTACTTCGAAGGCTAATTCAGCAACCAAAGCCGTTGCGCTTATTGCTCGAAACCTTTGATTTCGATCATATCTACACATACCGATCTATATCCGATGTAAATTGGCTAACCGTTGAAAGTAGCTAGACAGATGGGTAGCTGTCTCAGTGATTCTCACTAACTGCATGTCAGGGTACTGGCGGATTGGCAGGGAGACTAGAAATGTACCATTCCCAGCGCTACCCGGTGATTTGAATTAAAGCTGAAGAAGAGAAACTTCAGGTCTAAGGAATAACAACAGGCTGTTGGCTCGCTTTGCGAGCGATGCAGCGGCAGGTCCCCAGGGGATTAGGTGGCGAGGTATGCTGAGAAAGTATCCCTCTTCCTCTCTTTTACAGTGAGCATCTGTAACTTTTCACTTCACCGCTCCACAGGTGGTTTCCGGGCCAATCCACTTCCACAGGACGCTGCGGCAGTTGTGTGTCTGAAAACACACAAGGACCTAGCACGCACTTACTAGCGAGAAGTTCTCTTGATCGCGAGGCAGTAATGTTCGCTGGGAACGGAGCGTGGCGCACGCAAACCAACCTCGCTGGCAATGCACAAGTGAGGCGGGAGGGTGAATGCAGACAGTTGTGCAAAATGCCACTCGGTCGCAGACTCGAAACCTTCGCTGCAAAAGGGCCGAAGTGTCAACAGTGAAACCAAAGCGCCAGGGAAGGCGCGCCTGCCTCTGTCAGCAAAAGCGCCTGGAGCCAGGGATCAGCCTGCGGGCTGTGTTCCCAGGGAGCGCCCTGCTTTGAGAGGCAGATGCGACCGGGGCAAGCAGCGATCCGGGCTGACTGCGAGCTCTGCCAGAAGCACCCGTGGCCGGGGCTGGGGAGTGAGGAGAGAGGGACGTCTGCAGGCTGCAGCGGATCAAAGTGGAGGCTCCCCCGTCAACTAGGGCACCGGGAGAGACCGGCACTGGGGCTGCGAGAACCACCCTAGGGGACAGACCAGCAGGAGCACCGTCACCACTGTCAGCCGTGTGTGTGTGTGTGTGTGTGTGTCCCCGTGTCCTGCTAGCAGCCCATTGGCTGGGGGCTGCCTGATGTCACGGCTGGCTGTTCCTATAAGCTCCCCAACACATAACGGGCTCAGGACACTTGTAGACGAGACTCCCGGCAGGGCAGGAGCTGCCCAGGCTGCAGCGCGCGTGTGACTGCTCCAGGGCACCAGCCAGGCGCACCGGGCACCGAGCGCAGGAGACAGCCGGCGTGTAAAGAGCGCGAGCGGAGCGCCGGCGCTGCGCAGTGGGCATCGGCCTGTCCCAGACTTGCCTGCGAAGAGCCCCGGCGCTGTGCGGCGGGGGATCGGACGCGGGGCCGCCCGAGGCTTGCATGTCAACAGGGAGCAGAGCGCAGAACGTGCGCTGCTGCGGGTAGGAAGCCATGGGATCGGTGAGTCCCACCAGCCCGGGGCTTGCTGCGGTCAATGTGAGCAGCAGCGAGGACACGGGCAGTTCCAGCCTGTCGCAAGACGTCTGGATGGTGGGCATGGGCATCCTGATGTCTGTGATCGTGCTGGCCATCGTCTTTGGCAACATCCTGGTGATCACCGCCATCGCCAAGTTCCAGCGGCTGCAGACCGTCACCAACTACTTCATCACTTCCCTGGCGTGCGCCGACCTGGTGATGGGGCTGGCCGTGGTCCCCTTCGGAGCCAGCCACATCATGCTGAAGCAGTGGAAGTTTGGGAACTTCTGGTGCGAGTTCTGGACCTCCTTAGACGTGCTGTGTGTCACGGCCAGCATCGAGACCCTCTGCGTCATTGCCGTGGACAGGTATTTCGCCATCACCTCCCCCTTCAAGTATCAGAGCCTGCTGACCAAGAGCAAAGCCAGGATTGTCATCCTCGTGGTCTGGGTGGTGTCTGTTTTGACCTCTTTCTTGCCTATCCAGATGCACTGGTACAGAGCAGAGGGCCCGGTAGCTGAAAAGTGTTACAAAGATGAGAGTTGCTGTGACTTCTTCACCAACCAAGCCTATGCCATCGCTTCTTCCATCATCTCCTTCTACTTGCCTTTGGTGGTCATGGTCTTCGTCTATGCCAGGGTCTTCCAGGTAGCCAAGAAGCAGTTGAAGAAGATAGACAAATGTGAAAGGAGGTTTCATAACCAGAACAACCACCAGCAGGAGCAGAATGGGAGAGGAAGTCACAGGAGAACCTCCAAGTTTTGTTTGAAGGAGCACAAAGCCCTGAAAACCTTGGGGATCATTATGGGCACCTTCACTTTGTGTTGGCTGCCCTTCTTCATAGTCAACATCGTGCACGTGATACAGGACAACATTATCCCCACTTACCTGTACATCCTCCTGAACTGGTTGGGATACGTCAACTCCGGCTTCAACCCCCTTATTTACTGCAGAAGCCCGGACTTCAGGTATGCTTTCCAGGAGCTCCTGTGCCTCCGGCGATCTGCCCTGAAGATGCACGCCAATGGATATTCCAACAGCAACGGGAAAAGTGACTTCAACGAGGAGGAGGATGGATATCAGTTGGGACAAGACAAAACGTGTGAATTGCTGTGTGATGGAGCGGGGCCACCTGCCAGTGAGGACTTATTGCACTGTAAAGGTACTGTGCTGAACGGTTGCGTTGAGTCCCAGAGCATCAGTCATAGCACACACGATTGCATATTGTAGAGAGATGAGCCTTTACCAAAAACAAAAATAACCCAGTCCAATGAAAAAGGCACCTTTAATGTAGTATCTGCAAGAGAACTAAAACTAGCAACCTTTATACAAGTATGTGGGAGTGCCCCCTTTAGGGGCGGGAGGGGGTTGTTTATTTGCAGGATGTACAAAATCCTCGGGCAAGTACATATTTATATGCACCGGGGATTATTTTAAGACTGTGGATGAGGGTCATCCCTTGAAGACTTGATGACTGTTGTGGTGTTTGTGTTTATCTACCTCAGAGATCTAGTAATAATAAGCACGTAACTGCTGCCCTCAAGCCTAGCAGGACTCCTGTCCCTTTGGTGAGTGGGCTGTCTCCCATCAGAGGGGAAGATGATCCTTTACTTCGGGGACGAGTCAGGGCTCGATTTGCCGTCATTTGGGGGAATCGAGTCTGAAGTTTACTTCTTTGTGCAGTGAATACTGGTGTAAGGATGACCTCACTGCACCTGTTTGTCCAAATTCCTGTCCACTGTATAAAAGTATGGTGACAACTTTAAGTGATGCTCTAATGACTTCATACTCAGTTCTGCTAGGAATGGCTCATCTCCCCCGCACCAAATCCCCATTAATCCCAGTTCAGTCTTCATGTTAGTGCAGTAAACATACCTTTCAACTGCCCTTCCTTTGAGATCTGAGCTTCCCTTCCACCCACACAAATATGATGGTCACATTTTCATTACTGCACATTATTTAAATCCCAAAGACTTGGCTGTGAAACTAATGGGCAATGTCCGCGTATGCTAAAGAAACCAGCCCCTTTCCCCATTACTAGAGGCTTCCTACGCTAATAGTGTTCTTCACTTGCGATCTTTGTTCCCTCTTGGCATCTGGAGAGGTCTGAGCCTAAATGCCAGCGGAATTCATGAGGATTAAGCCCATAATTATAAAGTTGTTAGCACTAGGGTTCTGCAGTTGACATCATCCAAAAGCAGGGAGCGGGGGTGGCTGGGAAGCTCAGCGAGGGCTGTAACACGATAACTAGCACTTCCCTTCTGGCCACACTGAACCTGATTCCCCTGCCACCACCCCGTGGCTGAGCTTGCTCTGCCCTGGAGGCGAGCGAGCACTGATTGGAAAGGTGGGCAGAGCAGTGCTCGGCAGGTTCCAACAGGTTTCAGCTCAGGGAGTAGCCCATGAGCAGTTCCCATTGACAGCTCGTTCCGTTTACAGAGGGACTCTAAAGACATTTCAACGCCACTTCAGTGGCAGTGTTCGCAATAGAGGCGCTTTCCCCCTGTCTATTTGGGTCTCAGTGGCCTCAGAGGTCCAAGCGTGGAGTAGGCTAGGACACGCAGTGGGGGCTCTTCGGCAATGACCTGTGAAATAAAGGGTGGTTTGATCCCGGTCATTATGTTCTGTATTATTTGTTAAGCACTCAGTGTGCTTGGAGCTGTACCCCTCCGGTCTGAGCGAGCTTAAGCTCTAAATCATGGGCTTTGGGGGTCACTGAGGGAATTCATCTGGGCTGTATTTTCCCCCTCCTGAAATTTCCCCTTTTAGTCTTCCCATCTTTCAACGGTGGTTACACCCCCTCTGGAGTCCCAGCGCTAAGGGGATCATGGGCCTGGCAGTCTGCCCTTTATAGTGCTCTTATAAAGCATTTTGTGTAATCTCCGACTGTGTCCCCCATCTCATGAGGGACAGGAACACCGTATCATGAGCCAGGCCACTCCAGGCTGTTGTACAGTGAAATCCCCCCTCCACATCCAATAAACCAGCTCTTGAACATGATTTCTCATGTACAAAACAAAACAATCAAATGAAACACGCGGTCAAAACATGAATCAATTTTAGCCTCAGATGGAGGGTCTGGGACAAATCCCTGTTTATGGAAAAGTCCTCTGGAACTGTACAAGGGTGAAGCCAACAAAGTTCTGTCGGGTGCTTTTAAAATTACCATCAAACCTTTAGATTTTTAAAGGAAACCAGATAGTTTCTGTAGGGGGAGATAGAATCACTCTATAGAATTCTATACAAGAGAGATACTTCTGTTAAATTTGGAAGGCTGATTTAAAGAAACAAATAAACTAATGTTCTCTGTTCAATTCTATAGGACTTTTCATTAAAAAAAAGAAACAGGCCTGGGGAATTTGGGAGAATGTAGAAGACTATGACTGTAAATTTCCTGGAGAAGGTAGCTGGAAAATTGTCCTGTGTGCTGCTAAAAATCACAGAAAATTCCTCTAGCTAAAGGTTTTCCCAATCTTTAAAATAAAATAACAAGGTGTATTTAATTCAGAGAGTGTTTGGTCTCAGGAGACAGTGGATATGGAAGGGTAGATCAGTCTTTGTTTTTCTGGCCCCGTTTTATTTATTAGCTTTCCCTCTTGGCAGGTTTTACATTTTGTTCCTGGTTTGCAAACCTTGCTTCATGTTGGCTGCAAGCTCCCCGGGGCTGTCAGATGGGAAGCTAATACTCAGACACAAGTGGACAGGTGCGGGTGGGGAGGAGTACAGAGACCTGTGGGGGAGCGAGAGGAGACTGTTACCCTTCAGCAGAGCAGCCTCTCGATGCAGGAAGCAGTGATCAGAAAACGGGACTCTTCCTTCAGGCTTACATAGACGTTTTTTTAAAAGGGTGCAGCATGGCTGCAAAGAGAATTTGAAAGAGAAGGGTCCTTTCAAAACATGTGAAAAAGACTGAGGTGGGGGAAGATCACACACTGGGTCCCTTACAAAGCAGTGACACGTTTCCATTCCAATCTGTTCTATGTATTTGTATGCCAGATCCCTCAACACAGTATCTGAATGCTTAAAATCTTGGTATGTTTCTATTTTGCTGCTTTGTTATTGCACTCTGTTAATACAGGCGTGCTGTCTTAGGGAACTGCTTTGAGCTTTGACTAATTTGCTTGAAATAGCTTTTGGTCAATCTCGGAATCATGCATGGGTTAGGCAACCAAGACTGTTTTGACCTGTGCCCTAGGATTCCAACAAGGAGTTTCCTGGAACAGTGTCTTAGTGGGAAGAAATATCAGAGAAAACAAAACAAAAAAAACAAATGCAAAGAGTCGTGGTGTTTTCAAATGGTGAGCTGCTCCCAACCTCAGCATTTATTCCACCGCACACCCACGCCTTTGCCCTGAAAAAACTCTCCACCAAGAATATCGTCACTAACTGTAATTGGTATTTCCAATGAATTTCTGAATGAGCCTTTGCAAATCATTTGTGATAACTCCTGGAAAGCTGTCCATGTAAAGCATAGATTGGCTTCGCCTTATGTTCTTTCTGTATTGAAAATGCTTTTGGCACATAGTTGGGGAAGTTTCCTGTGGTTCCTGGGAGCTGCTGAGCAGTCAGGAAGCTCGATCTCCTAAGCGTTATCCTTTCAAGTGAGGCCTGCTGCAGAGATTGTCAAGTGAGTGGTGAGGATTTGCCTACTGATTTCTTCCAAGCTAAAGTCTCTGCATCTTGATCAGAAATCTGTAGTTTGCTCTCTTTCAGGTTAGATCTTTTGTTGTGTCTGTTAACTGCAGATGCCAGAGGGATGTAACTAAGTAGCGGAGCCCCCTCCCCCGCCAAACTGGTAAAAGGTATGCTGAGTTGTTCTTTGCAGAATATACAGTGTTTCTTCCTGTTGCCCAACTCACTCACCTACCCTCCAAGTGGAGAAAGCACTTTGTTTAGCAGCTAGTAAGCATATGTAGCCCGAACCACCTTCATAAACCTTCCAATTTGTGCATAGTCATGCTTGGGATTAGTGTTTACACCATGCAAGGTGGTTATTAAAACAGTAAAAAGCCTGCTGTCAGGTTCAAGAGAGGTGACCGGGAGGGACATGCTGCAGCAGAGTTTGGAGCAAAATGCATGGGGCTTTCTGACAGCCCTTTCTGCAGCTAGGGGCCAATTGTGAAGTGTGATTAATGGAGAGACTCACTGCATCTGTGAAATTAGAAGAATGCTAAGGCAAATCTCCACAAAAACAATGCTGCGTTATCTTTTGCACCTTTAACAGTTGTCCTTAAAGGAGACGGCCAAATTAAAAGACAAAGCCAGACACCATGCAACACAATGAAGTGGGACTATTTATAGCAGAGACCTTGCAGTCACAGTACACACACTTGCACTATTGTGCTACTTTGCAAAGGAGTATCTGCAAGTTAAAGGGGGGCCACCATGTCATGGCTTTTCCGACACGGTGATGCGAGCTCAGAGACTACAAAAGTGTGTGTGTGCGGGAAAATGAAGGAATTCGGGGCGGGGGGGGGAGTGGAATGATTCAAATCACCTCTAAAAATGTGGAATGTGAAATAAAAAATAATGGCAACAAAATTTAAAATAAAAATACCAGGCATTCTTTAAACATGCGGAGCGTTCAACCCTGCAGAAGTCTGTGGAAGGATTGTAGAGATAACTGTGTAGCACCCACATTCCCTTTAGGGTCCAATTCACCATTGACCTGCACCTTGTGTAGTCATTTGCCCCATTGTGAAGTAAGTTCAAAGCAGGTGTAAACGATGCCATTCTGCTTTGTTTTCACACTCACTTTGCACTGGTAGCAATGGTGATACAAGGTGCTAGGGTGAATTCAGCTCTGAGACATTTTGAACCGTGTCCATGAAGCCTTGTCTCAACTATTGGCATTTTATAGGGAAGAGGAGTTGAAATGGGTGCTCCTCCCTCTCCCCAGCAAAGTGGGCCTGGTCCTCTGGGAAGAGTGGCTAAAAGAGCCGGATCCTTGAATCCTCCTTTAGAGGATGGGAGGTGTGGTTGCCATTACAAAGAGTTCTGCCTGGGTCAGGACTGCAGGGCTGAGCCCAAAGTATATACAGAGAAAGAGAATGTGGCCTGAGAAAGCTTCTTCCTCTTTCACTAGCTGTCTCCCTCCTATGGGAGATGACTTCCAAGATATCCCTGCTTGTCTGCCATTGACTGCCCCCTAGCACCAAGCAG